CCAGGTGAGGTAGTGCACACCTGCAATCCCAGAACTTAGGAGGCAAGGCAGAAAGACTGTAAGTTTGAGGCCACCTGCCCAACTTAGCCAGAGCCTGTCTCAGAAAGGAGTAGGGGTGGGGATAACGGTGTAAAGCGTATCCTACCATTTTTTTAAAATGCTAAATAATAAAAGCAAAGAAGATCTTTGCCGTTCAGATAGAGGGGCCTGGACCCAGTGAGTATGTTCAGCCACAGCTGCCCTGCCCCTGGCATGAGATTCCAGAGGAACCTTTCTGTCGTCCCCAGCCTCCTTTCCCACCGCAGTTGCCCCTTCCCCTCCTCAGGACCAGGCGCCCACTGCCCTGGTTCTCTGTGGGACCTGGAGTAAACAGTGCTGTGCCGAGGACAGTGTCCACCCAAATGACCGCTGGCCTCTCCAGTCCCCAGAGTGAAGAACCACTGAACACACGGGAGCCCTAGCGTCCTCAGTTGGAGGGGTGCTATGAGGCTTCCACTCCACCATGAGGGCCACACGTTCCTGTCTCGAGCCACTCACCAGCCAGGGCCTTCTTCCTGCTCTTGGTCCATCCTCATAAGGACCCACGAGCAGGACCAAGGTCAGCTCTGAGGTGTGATGAGCCCCACCAGGAGCGCATTGTCTGGGGACCTGGATGGGGCCAGATTCCTGGTCTACCTCATCCATGGCGTCTGATTACACAGTCACAAACGGGGCTGTCCCATTTCATCCCAGGCTGCAAAGCCCCAGGGTAAGTTAACACGACTGCCTGGGAAGAAATGAAAACTTGTTACTTGGAGCACAGGGATCACATGAGTCCCATGGATAGATCCCCCGGAGTGCTAGGAGCTGCTGTGTCCAGAAGTTGAGGTCAACAGGGTACAAGGAACACAGTCCATCCTCTTTTTCTCTGCTTATGTGAAGTATTTTCAAGCCCTGGCGATCTCCAGGAGTTTTCTGGGTGAACAGAATCTGGAGAAGGATATTCACCATCCTCGCCTCCCTAGGCAGCTCCTGGCAGTCCCTGCAGCCAGGTCTACAGCCCTGAAAACCCGGCCCCTGCCCTGTTCACTGCATAGGTGGTAAGAAGGAGCTGGGTAAGCTCTGACCCAAAAGCTGAGGTCTTTCCTGTTCCCCTTCCCTGGCCCAGGAGGACAGGTGGAAGGATGCACATGCTTTCACCGGTGTGATGAATTCACCTGTAAGGCTGTGAGGGGATGACTAGTGGATAATGACAGAGACTTTGGAAGCATTCTTGAGTGCAACCAGTTCCTCTCTGCATCCGGCTAGAGACACATTCACTGTCTTCAAGTGGAAGCTTGTGAAAGGGAAAGGAGGTAGCTGATGGCAAATAAAGGTCCCCATGCGTGCCCAGACTTGAGTCGGAGATCCCAGGAGGCCCAGGGTCCTAGAGGGTGACTTCCAACAGCCCCTGCCCCCTTTCCATCCTCTCCTGCCCCAGAGTCTGGCTCAGAGTGGAATCAGCAGTTGGAAGAGCCTTAGAAAATTCATTGCTGCTGTTTCCCCGACAGTGGGCCACCTACCTGCTGGTGATGTGAGGCTGTTTGGCCCCCTCTGCTCCCCACAGGGCAGCCCCTGGCACTGCAGTTGGACTGTGTCCATGGCCCCTGCCTCCCTAGGAAGAGATCCCACCCCACCTAGGGTTTCTGTGGCCCTGAGAGAGGCTCTGGGTGAATCGGGTGCCTGGGCAGAGACCAGCTCGTGAAGGTCACAGGCACTGGTCTTTTGGTGGTGCTGTGGCTGCCTCGACATGTTGTCTTTGCAGCTGTTTGCCTCTTCTCTCCCTTTGATCTGAGAGAGAAGTGTCAAGAGCCTCTCCAGGGAGCTGCTGTTGGTGACAGTACAAGCAGTTGTTTTTCCCCATAAGAAACTCAGACCCTTGAGGTTGGAAAGCATGCTGGCCAGTAGCACAGCCTCTTGGGAAAAAGGAAGACAGCCCAGGTCAGTCAGCTGAACCATAGCGTGCCAGGGCTCAATTCCCAGCTGGCGTAGTGGCACCACCCGGGCCTTTCTCTTCTTAGACCGGATGTGGGTGTCTTCTGTGGCACGTGAGCAGGGGAGGAAGGAAAGAGAGGTCATGGACTCCTCCCCAGAGCCACCAAATAACAACACCAAGTGAGCTGCCCTGCTTGTGAGAGCATCCTCAGTCCTCCTGCTAGACGTTTGCAGGCCCTCTCGGAACAGGGGCTGGACCCTGCCAAGGGTGTCCCTCCCCTGGGCTGAGCTCACCCCCAGCAGTTTTTCTAGAACAGCTCCATAGACAGTGATCTTGGAAGCCCCACTTGCCTTCTCAAACCTCTGCCAAGTTGTCAGTAAGCAGCAAACTCCCTTTTCATTTTGCTTCTGAAAAGCAGCTGTGTGGCCTGTCCCCCCCCCCCCACACCCCCTTCTCACCCCCCCCACCCCCCC